AATACAGTGGGCATTAGTATTTACAGGAAGATGCATGCATTCAGAGCGATCAAGATGACTGAGATATACATAATCATACTAATAATACTAATGAAGTCATGTTTATATAGCACATAATAATAAACTAGCAGGACCCGCGGAAATTGAAATTTGTTTGAATTTTTTTTTTTTTTTGTTGAAAGAAAATAAAACAGCGTCCTGTCCGCTTCCTTTTTGCGGACCGCCTCCTTTTTTTTTTTTGAATTTTTTTTGAATTTTTTTTTTATGAATTCTTTTTTATTTTTCGAAAGAAAAAAAAAACATGAAAAGTACTGCTAAAATGTATTTCTGATTTTTTAAAAAGAAAGAAAAAAAAAATATCGGCCGCCATCTTGAAAAATAGCCCGAATGTCAGGGAAAATGTACGGAGCGGCCATTTTGAAAAAAAAAAAAAAAAAAGGGCCTCCTCCTTCCCATTTTTCGAAAAAAACAGGACGCTAAACATGTTTTTTTTTAAATTTGGCCTTAAATAAAAATTAAAAAACGATCCAACTGTACCGGTAGTTATTCTCTAAGCCACTGGAACTGCGTAGAGTTCCGTAGTGTGGCGTACCGACTACGCAGAACTTAGGCTGCGTATTAATGGCAAATAGTCCCTGCGTAGGTTATGCTTAGGCTGGCGTACAGGTTTGCTTATGGTTGCTTACTGTGTGGAAAGATTTTACTGCCTTGTCGATCTGGCGTAGGGTAGCATACTGTTGCGTAGGCATGTAGCGTAGTGTTGCGTAAAAAGGCGTACTTTCTGCGCAAGTTTCTACGCCGAAAGTACGCAAAAAAAATTAAACATGTTGAATTGTTTTCGTTCATCTTGCGTACCCCTTTCCGTCCCTCAGCATATAGTAACGTAGGCCAGCGTAGTTAGTACGCAACACTACGCAACTCTACGTATTGACCCCACGCCAATTAGTGACCCGCAAGTGTCACAAATAAAGTATTAAAAATATGCTCATCTGACCATAATTAAACGCCTAAAACCCCCGAGCTTTCGGTTTTTTTTTTGTTCCTTGAAACCTGTGGACCCCACGCCTATATTACATATACAACTCGCTGCGATCTGATCTCTCCCCCCCCCCCGACTTTGAAGAACGTAACCCCGAGCTTTTTGGGGTTTATGGCCCCTTGAAACCCGTGGACCCCACGCCTATATTATAAATACACTCAACTCAGGACCCGCGGAAATCGCGGGATTCTAGAGGGGGGCGCAGGCAAAAAATTAAGTTTTTCATTTCGGGGGCTCTATTTCAAATTTTGGGGAAATTTTCGTGGGCTACTTTTCAACTTTCGGGGGCTCTTTTTTCTGGGGCTACTTTTTCATTAATTCATAAAAGGATAGGCCTACACTTTGTTGAGATTTGTTTAGTAGGCTAAGGTTTCAGGCTTCCTACTTCATAATTGCCTATTTTAAAAAACAAAACATTTTTCTAGTTCAATAACTAAGTTTTCATGCATTGATTTGATGCAAGAACTGTAACATAGTAGACCCTAGATTCTGATTATTTCTGACCATGAATTTCGATAATCATTTTTCAAAGTAAAATTTTCACAAGAAAATCAGACAGTCGTTTAAAAACGTAGACATTAGTGATACTTTTACTAATTCTAAGCTCGGGTTTCGTAAATCTATTCACGAAACTATATTGAAATTGCGGCAATAATCATGCAAACCAACAGATAACAATTTCAAAGTGTCAAATCTCTTCGACTCGAGCTCAGCTCAGCTGAACTCACACACACTACAGCGTAACTCCAGGAAGCTCGAACACCGGCGCCGCAGGCGTCGGACGCCTGCGGTGCGCGGTGCCGGTGTTGGAGCTTCCCGGAGTTACGCTGCACTGTGTGTACTGTATGTGTGTTGACTGAAGGCAGCTTGCGACTGAACTGTCAGTCCAATGGTTTTCTTGTGAAAACTTTCCTTTAGAAAATGATAATCAAAATTCAGTATACATGGCCGTAGTAATCACAAAATAAGCTTTGATTTCATACCTCCATTCACGAAAACTATATAAAAATCGCGGCAATCATGATGGAAATAGGTCTCTAAGTTTGGACGTCGACGGAATTAGCTCCGTGTATCTCTCTGGCTTGTGCAGCTCGTACAAAGGACACCCTATAGCAAGAGGGCTTACTCGGGGGGTAATCCCGCCCTTTGCATAGAGCATTTCATACGCAACATAATGTGAGTTGCTCGTCGTCTGTCGTGTCTCTCTTTAATACGGATGTAATGTTGAATATGCATGAGTTATCTCTGTCGTCACGCATAACCTGCATTATGCATATCGCGTCTGTTTTCGCCCTGGACGTCGACACGGAGGAGGACCTCGGGCGGAGTATAGCCAATTCCACAGAGTAGACTCTCCCGCGGACGATGGCACCGGTCACCGGGACCCCGAGGGGAGGGTTCAGGAGGAGATAGCTGCACCAACTTTGGTCGGCGATCTCATTAAAAAACAATAGAATACAAAGGCTCGCGGAGACGTCATGCCTCCCCCCCCCCCCCCGCGGAGCCTTAGCGTATTATTATTATAGACCAGCAGGACCCGCGGAAATCCGCGGGATTCTAGAGGGGGGCGGGGGTGTAAATAGATATATAATAATAATAATAATATTGGCATTTATATAGCGCTCTTACAGACATACATGTGTATCACAGCGCTTTACAACATATTATTATTACCCCGGTCATCGGATTCAGGCTTACCCGCACACAAGGTATGCACATTCTCCACTCCCTGGGGAGCATTCCAGCCAGTCGCCATTTTACAAGCGCCAATCCTTACGCAATACCTATTGTTCAGGTGGGATGATCTATCATGATCTATCATCCCCCCTGAACAATAGGTATTACGTATAGATCATCCCCCCTGAACAATAGGTATTACGTAAGGATTGACGCCCATGATAGAGACTCTGTAAATTAAAACCACCAAGAACTTTATTTGCCATTTATTAAAAAAAAAAAAAACAACGATCGATCCAACTCTACCGGTTGTTATTCTTAAAGCCTCTTTCACACTGGAACTGCGTAGAGTTGCGTAGTGTGGCGTACCGACTACGCAGAAATTAGGCTGCGTATTAATGGAAAAATGTTGCTTTACTGTAGTCCTTGCGTAGGTTATGCATAGGCTAGTGTACATGTTTGCATATGGTTGCTTACGGTTGCTTACTGTGTGGAAAGCTTTTACTGCTTTGTCGATCTGGCGTAGGGTAGCCGGTAGCGTACTGTTGCGTAGGCATGGCGTACAGTAGCGTAGTGTTGCATGAAAAGGCGTAATTTTCTACGCCGAAAGTACGCGAAAAAATTAAGCATGTTGAATTGTTTGCGTCCATCAGCATGTAGTAACGTAGGCCAGCGTAGTTGGTACGCAACACTACGCAAATCTACGTATGGCCCCACGCCAATTAGTGACCTGCCAGTGTCACAAATAAAGTATTAAAAATATGCTCGTCTGACCCTAATTAATTGCCTAAAACCTAGCTGTGAGCTTTCGGGGGTTTATGGCCCCTTGAAACCCGTGAACCCACGCCTATAAATACTCAACTCGCTGCGATCTAACCCTAATTAAATGCCTAAAACCCGTGAGCTTTCGGGGGTTTATGGCCCCTTGAAACCCGTAGACCCCACACCTATAAACACTCAACTTGCTGCGATCTAACTGATCCCCCCCCCCCACTTTGAAAAACGTTTCTTGGAGTCTGCATGTAACATGTAAGAATGGTGCAAGGTGATGCAGATTTTTTTTTTCAGCCCCCTCCCCCCCTCCCCACTCAAACGATTTTACTCATTACGCAACTGACTGTTTTGCAATCCATGAAGTCACATACTTCTGTCTGGTTGATATTGAACTATTAATATGTAAATGTACAATTCATAACCTTGTTTACATTTTATTTTAATTTACTGTAGATATAAGACAATATTAGTCTCCGATGGCTGAGTAGACGTAAAGTCGTATAGTTGTATAGCTGAGAGTCGTATAGTTGTATAGGTGTACAAAATTATGGCACTTCGGCCCGCACGCTGTTGTGTTGACGGGTTCTTCGATGGGTGGATAGACGTATGTGTAATTGTATAGTTGTACGATTATTGGCCTACTTGGCCTCTAAGTTTGGACGTCGACAGGAAGCCCCGTACCCTGATAGCAGAGACTGGTAAATATCACGTCATATTTACGTCTTGTACTACGTCTTTAAGACGACATAACACGACGTCAAAAAGACATGATTTTGCACCCGCACACGTCGTCACGAGGACGTCATATTTTGACGTGATTTTTACGTCTTATTAGTCAAAGAAAGACGTCTTTAAGACGTCAACTTGTACTATAGGAAGACGTCATATGGACGTCATATTTACGTCTTTTAGTTAAAGAAAGACGTCTTTAAGACGACATAACACGACGTCAAAAAGACTTGATTTTGCACCCGCGCACGTCGTCACGAGGACGTCATATTTTGACGTGATTTTTACGTCTTATTAGTTAAAGAAAGACGTCTTTAAGACGTCAACTTGTGCCATAGAAAGACGTATGGACGTCATATTTACGTCTTTTAGTCAAAGAAAGACGTCTGTAAGACGTCAACTTGTACCATAGGAAGACGTCGTATGGACGTCATATTTTGTCGTGATTTTAACGTCTTATTAGTCAAAGAAAGACGTCTTTAAGACGTCAACTTGTACCATATAAAGACGTTGTATGGACGTCATATTTTCTTTTTAGGTCTTATTGGTTAAATAAAGACGTCTTTAAGACGTCAACTTTCACCCAAGAAAGACCTGTATACGTTGTATGGACATCAAATTTTGACGTGATATTTACACCTTACTGGTCATTTCGATGTACCTTTTATCCTTACATGATCTTTACGTCTTTGTTGTCCTCTAAATAACATCTATAAGACCAGTAAAATCAAAGCAACAAATATTGCATCACATAATATATATATACATGCCAAACAGAAAGTAATTTTCATATTTTTAATGTACACGTATATGGTATGAAAATGGATAACAAAAATATAAAATACGTATTTCTATACCTTCTTATTCTATCTAACTTTGTTTTCCATTGGTACAAAATCTTTTCATCACTATCCTGACACTTCTTCCAAAACATGCTGTATAAATACCTAGTGTATTTCTGTCAGTCTCATAATTTATTTTAAGAAAGTTAACAGGCCATCACAAAGATACCTGTTTCGTTATAAATTGTGCTACAAGAAACTATGACATATTGGCTAAACTTATAAGTCTTACGGTTGTGGGAAGCAGGTTAGCAGCATAGAGACTAGGTAAAGCTATACTGATACCCGCAGGATTTTAGTAGACAAGCAAACAGCACACTGGGGAAGTTCCTCATATTCAGCAAAACAGCATAGTGGAAAGCTAGGCATTCATCAGTGCAGCTCTACCTCGTCTCCATGCTGCAAAACCGCTCCTGACAACCCCAAGACTTTAATGCAGATAAAGACTATCACATAAAACAAAAGGTTGTTGGAAAGAATTTCTGAGCATGAAAGATCAATTCTTGTTACATACAAGGGGAATATCTAAGTTCATGGCAAGAATTCAGTATAAAGTATAAAACTATACAATCTAAATCACACACAGGAGAAAAATGGCACAAATGATAAACACATGGCTTAGCTAAGTTATTTCTTACACTCAAAAGGAACAAGTTGGCAGCAAGGGGAACAGGGAGAGCTTCACTGATACCTGCAGAGTTTTCTGATGATGGTTGCTTGCCCGTCAAAACCATGATGTTCACATTTGGCGATACAGCATATTAGAAAACTGTGCAGAAATCAGCTCAACTGTACCTATTCTCTGTGCTAGAAACCTGCTTCTTATGGGCACATGACTTAAATATAAGAAAAGGCATTAGTGGCAACATTCATATTTATAAATATCAACAAATTAGTTTTGTTGCAAATACAGAAGCTGAAGTTCAAGTATAAAAATACAATTTATATCGGATAACATTCCCGCCAGTACGATTGGCTCAGTTGGGCAATTCCAAGGTGACTGTGGAATAATTATTCAGAAGATATTTCCCAGTTTAAGATAAAATAGCAAACATGCTGAAAAAGTTTAGCACAAAGAGATATATTCCATTGCTAATGTCACAACATTCATTTGGCAAGTCCCAGGAGTTTCACAAAAGAATTAAAATTTAACTTAAATTTTAACAGCAAATTCAATATACATGTAGGTAAGCCATATTGTGCTTTCAAAATCACAGATACAATCCAAGAATTTTATACTTTTAACTACCAATTTTTTTTCAAACCACAAGGTATTTATGGTTTTCATTGAAGGCGCTACTGTGTGTCACTCTTTAACGGTTAATTCTCCCAACAAAATTTTGAATTTTCCCCAACCGTTTTTCCATGAAAATAAGATATAAAACAGGCCTTTAAAAATCATTCAACGTCTAAATTTGGAAAAGGTATTGGAGCTAATTCTTTGCTTTGTGATGATTTACACTCACTTCAATTTAATCAAATTATAAAAATATAGTTGGGAGAATTAAGGACTGGATCAGATCAGTTTTCCCAATTTTTATCATCAATAGTGGTCTATTTTTAACTCAAATGTTCAGATTATCTTTAAGTGTACATACAGTATAGCATTGAAGTCAATACCTTAGCATCATTTTCTCTCATATGAACAATGTTACCGAGTCCCTTTAAGGCTCGTTCAGATATGATGCTGCAAAACAAAATCTCAGAGTTTTTTTAATGTTGACATAGAGTTCAATATGCTTTACATTTCTGTATATTATTTTTAAAAAAAGCTCACTGAATATGCGCAGTCCAAAACATACAAAGACTTGATGCCATTCGCTTTACACATAAAACCAAACTGCATCATTTTCGAAAATTGTTGGCGGTTCACATTCCGTATCTGAACAAGTCTTAGTTGCTTAATAATGGAATCGATTTGTATTGTATTTAACTCACTCATTTTTTCTCTATTACCAACTTATATATAATTTGCAACAGGTTTTAAGAACTGATAAGAAGCGGATGGGGGGTGGGGGTGAGCATGAGACTGAGCATATCAAGTCTACTACATTTAAGCATTATGAAACAGGTCAACTTCATAAATAGTAATTACAAATATATGCAAAATACTGGAATCTTTTACTCAAACTGTTATTATGTCAGTTCGTACACCCTGTAATTCATTAAAATTGTAAGTGACATGAATGGGAATTTCAGTTCCACAGCTTAGCCGTTCAGGTTTGTGGCTACACCTCACCTCTCCCCCTCCCCCAATCTCTCTCTATAAATTATAATGAAGTGAAAAAAAACCCTTTTTTCTAGCAGTTTAACTATCGGGTGAGTGTAGATCTACATGTAATTTTGGAAATATTCCTCTTCAGCTTGGACTCATGGGTTAGCTTTTGGGTGGAATCTCTGGCATTATGCACTGCTTTCAGATCCAGGGAACAAAGACGCAAGGAATTCTAGTGCATGAATAAAGCAAAAATAAAGGAATACAATTTAAGACAAACTTTTATATATTTTAAAACTAGAACATAAGCAATGAATTAAATAATGAATTATGTCAGAAAAGTACTGCTTGGTAAGATTTATCAGAAATAATTTCTTATTTCTCACAAACATAAAGTCAACACACCTTTGGATTTTAAACATTTGTGGGCAATGCAAAACGTGATTCAGGATTTTGTTTGGTAAATTATCAATACAATTGTAGTTTGCTGATGAGGGCCATGACTCACCAATCGGATTAGTGGAGCCATCGATTTGGAAATATTCCTCTTCAGCTTGGACTCATGGGTTAGCTTTTGGGTGGAATCTCTGGCATTATGCACTGCTTTCAGATCCAGGGAACATAGATGCAAGGAATTCTAGTGCATGAATAAAGCAAAAAGAAAGGAATACAATTTGAGACAAACTTTTATATATTTCAAAACTGGAACATAAACAATGAATTAAATAATGAATTATGTCAGAAAAGTACTGCTTGGTAAGATTTATCAGAAATAATTTCTTATTGCTCACAAACATAAAGTCAACACACCTTTGGATTTTAAACATTTGTGGGCAATGCAAAACGTGATTCAGGATTTCGTTTGGTAAATTATCAATACAATTGTAGTTTGCTGATGAGGGCCATGACTCACCAATCGGATTAGTGGAGCCATCGATTTGGAAATATTCCTCTTCAGCTTGGACTCATGGGTTAGCTTTTGGTGGAATCTCTGGCATTATGCTTTGCTTTCAGATCCAGGGAACATAGACGCAAGGAATTCTAGTGCATGAATAAAGCAAAAAGAAAGGAATACAATTTAAGACAAACTGTTATATATTTTAAAACTGGAACGTAAACAATGAATTAAATAATGAATTATGTCAGAAAAGTACTGCTTGGTAAGATTTATCAGAAATAATTTCTCATTGCTCACAAACATAAAGTCAACACACCTTTGGATTTTAAACATTTGTGGGCAATGCAAAACGTGATTCAGGATTTTGTTTGGTAAATTATCAATACAATTGTAGTTTCAGGGATGCCAGTTAGAATTGATCAGAGGGCCTGAAAAATCACCTAGAATGTGCTAGCTTGTACACAAAAAACCTAAACTATGGTATGAAAATAACTCGCCAGGGCCTGAATTCAGGCTATTGCCTGAAAACTGGCATTCCTGTAGTTTGCTGATGAGGGTAGAATGAAAGCTCCTTGACCTATGCTGAAGGGTAAAAAAACACTGTTTGAAACTCACATAATATTGTCGGTTATTGCAACATACCTGCAGGTTTTAGTGATCTAAAATTAATTGAATTATAAATATATTTGAAACTCATGACAAATAACTGAAATAAGCCTTTCAAATGAAATGAACCATTATGTAGTGTCTAATTGGTCAGTGTCTCAGTGATCATGCACAATATGACAAATAAATGTACAGAAATAATACAAGTACATGTACACATTTACCGATAATGGCTTCAACTGTTTCAAGAGGCTGCTGATCCTTAGGGAAGTAGGGAACATCCACAAGGTTGAGAGAGAGTAGCATTTTCTGCATGGTTTCACATCAATACACTGAGGCCAAAATGTGCTTTGAATCCACTTCTTTGACGAAAGATGTTAAAAAAGGATGCCTACAAATAAATGAGAAAATGAATAAAGAACAAAATGAATGGTTGATAATGTATGCATGTGCAACACATATACTACAAACTTCTTTGAACAGCCTGTGGGGAAAGAATTTTGTTTACCATTTACAGGTCTAACCGATTATTTCCAGATAAAGATTTCTGTATACGCGGTAGCCTATAAGATAACTTTGCTGTCTAAAGACTATAGAAACGACTTGTTTAAGGTTACATGTTTGTGACACAAGTCACTGCTTTATTCCTCTACGTATCGACACGTAATGCTCAATTTCCAGACATCTGGGCCCGGGCCGGTAGTACACTTTCTCACAGGTTTCACTTTCACTGCAAACCGCTGCACATTACAAGTGCATACCGATGGTGGTTGCGGGCGGGCGCACGCCTGTGTGAAGTTATCTACCGTACAATGAGGAGGTAGATCACTTCACGCAGACTTACGTGCCCCCGCAACCCTCCATCTGTATGCACTTGTATTGTGCAGCGGTTTGCCGTGCAACCTGTGAGAAAGTGTATACTACTATCAACGTTTTTCCGAAAAAATACTCCCCCCAAAATAAGAAAATTGACCAGAAACAGGTTAGAAACATAACGACTTTTAAATCATGACCGGCATTATTTGAACATTTCATGAATATTTGCTTGATTTGGGGTAGGCATAGATCTGGACCTATGTTTTAGATTTTTAGGACTCTCTCCACGCTAACTCCGGGAAGCTCCAACACCTGCGCCGCAAGCGTCGGAGATTCGGGTTTGTGCATCAAAAAACATTCTAACAGCGGGTTGGGTGACATTATCTCAAAATATGCAAAGGGAGTAATTACAATTTTGACTCACTAGGTTGCTCGACTCCTCTGGGCATCTAGGCGGCAACTTGAAATTATAATTTGAAGAAGTCTTCGATGGGAAAAAGGGGGTGATTCTTCGTCCTATCCTGACGATTCTACCATGTTTCGTCGATTCAACCGGCAAAGAGAAAGTACGCACTAAGTACGCATGCGCGGTAGTGCATACTTTCTCTTCGCCGTTTGAAACGACGAAACAACATGGAAGAATCGTCGGGATAGGACGAAGAATCACCCCCTTTTTCCCATCGAAGACTTCTTCAAATTATAATTTAAAGTTGCCGCCTAGATGCCCAGAGGAGTCGAGCAACCTAGTAAGTCAAAATTGTAATTACTCCCTTTGCATATTTTGAGATAATGTCACCCAACCCGCTGTTAGAATGTTTTTTGATGCAAGCTAGAACCCGAAGCTCCGACGCCTTCGGCATCGGCGTCTGAGCTTCCCGGAGTTATCTCCACGCCAGAGTTAATGGGTCACTGGTAAAATAGTCTGGATATGATTCTAAACTAGTAGTAGATCTACAGTATTGCTTGGAATAAAGTAGACACTCTCACACTGTGTCACGCGTGACTGCATGTATTATCCGTCTTTGACTTCTTCTTCTTCTTCTTCAATATAATCTGCCTCCTTCAATACTGAAGATTCTTGCTGATGCCGTATACTCCGCCTGATTGGGGTGTGCAGGTGGACCATTACCATGATTACACCGGGTTTTCCCCCTACTCTTATACAAAAAGTGCAATGGGTTCTTAACGTGCAAGGGTGGTGACTCTCCTGTACGAGGGACGGAGTGTTTTCCACTTGACATAGCCTGCGTCTATGAACAAGGGAAGGGCAGTAGATCTAGACCTAGATCTAGTGCCAAAGCTTTCATCAGTTTGCTTCTCTTATTTTTCTGCTTTCTTTTAGTTTTAGTCTTTTAGAGCAGTTGTATATTCGAGTTAGATTTCCCTTTAAAGCCATGCAGCCCATGTGTAGGCAAATGAGTAAACTTTTTTGCTTTAAATGATGCCCCATGGCATGCATACTGTAATGATTCAGTGATTCTATAATAACCGCCCCGTCACTACAATACCTTCAATCAAGACCCTACATAAAAATACATATATGGGATCATACATTCCAAATCTTGTCAGCAAGTGTTGAAAGTCCGAGCTCACTATCACTGACATTATAGTGACATAAGATCATACATTGAGTCTACATATCAACTTTTCAGAACAAAAAAACAGTAACTATAGATTTATGTACTTTTTGTAAATAAATTAGGTAATTCTAGGACTTACCCATACTGTAAATTTGCAGGAGAAAACGAGAGTATTCAGGAGGATGATACTTCATGCAACGGCTTTTTTACTCTGAATTCAAATACATTACATACACATCGCATAGTGCATGTAGTCCTACGCCTTGCATGCCTTGAGTACTATGCATCTGTACACACACGTACACACTCCCGTTTGAACTAGATGCGAGCATGTTTAGTCTTGATCGATATTGCAGACCTTGGTGCGTGTTAAGATGTTGCACAATCTGTAAATTGGTCCACTATAATGACTAATGACATTTGAGGGGGGGGGGGGGAGTTGTTCCCTAATTTCAATTCTGATAATTGCCCTATTTACTTTGACTTATGCTCATATTAGATGTTGTAGTCTTTACCCGATTATTATCTTGGAAATGATTAGGTAATTAGAGACGTCATAATGACGTCGTTATAACGTCGTCCTCACGACAAAAAATATCTTGGAAAAATAGTCTTTAAAAGAGGTCATAATGACGTCGTAATGACGTCGTCAATACGACAAAAAATATATTGGAAAAAATAGTCTTTTAAAGACGTCGTAATGACGTCGTCGATACGACAACAATTATCTTGGAATAAATAGTCTTTAAAAGAGGTCATAATGACGTCGTCAATACGACAACAAGTATCTTGGAAAAAATAGTATTTTAAAGACGTCATAATGATGTCGTTATCACGTCGTCAATACGACAACATTACATTGGAAAAAATTCGTCTTTTAAAGACGTCATAATGACGTCGTCGTTACGACAAAAATTAGCTTGGAAAAAATAGTCTTTTAAAGACGTCATAATGACGTCGTTATCACGTCGTCAATACGACAACATTACATTGGAAAAATAAGTCTTTTAAAGTCGTCATAATGACGTCGTTAGCACGTCGTCAATACGACAACATTACATTGGAAAAATTAGTCTTTTAGAGACGTCATAATGACGTCGTCGATACGACAAAAATTAGCTTGGAAAAAATAGTCTTTTAAAGACGTCAAAATGACGTCTTTATGACGTCGTTAATACGACAAAAATTATCTTGGAAAAAATAGTCTTTTAAAGACGTCATAATGACGTCGTCGAGAAGACAACAAATATCTTGAAAAAATTAGTCCTTTAAAGACGTCATTATGACGTCGTTATGACGTCGTCAATGCGACAAAAATTATCCTGGAAAAAATAGTCTTTTGAAGACGTCATAATGACGTCATAATTACGTCGTCCATACGACGTACGACGTGTTTACCACTTTACGACCAATTTATGACGTCTTTAAGACGTCAGTCTGCTAAAGGATATGACGTCGTCGAGAAGACAAAAAATATCTTGAAAAAATTAGTCCTTTAAAGACGTCATTATGACGTCGTTATGACGTCGTCAATGCGACAAAAATTATCTTGGAAAAAATAGTCTTTTGAAGACGTCATAATGACGTCATAATTACGTCGTCCATACGACGTACGACGTGTTTACCACTTTACGACCAATTTATGACGTCTTTAAGACGTCAGTCTGCTAAAGGATATCCTATAGAAAGATGCTTTACTCGGGTAATCCCGACCCTGGGCATCGTGCATTTAATACGCAACTTAATGTGAGTGGATGGTCATCGGTCGTGTGTCTACGGATGTAATGTTGAATATCCATGAGGTATCTCTGTCGTCACGCATATCCTGCATTATGCATATCGCGTCTGTTTTCGCCCTGGACGTCGACACGGAGGAGGACCTCGGGCGGAGTATAGCCAATTCCACAGAGTAGACTCTCCCGCGCACGATGGCACCGGGCACGGGTACCCCAAGGGGAGGGTTCAGGAGGAGATAGCCGCACCAACTTCGGTCGGCGATCTCATTAAAAAACAATAGAATACAAAGGCTCGCGGAGACGTCGCGCCCCCCGCGGAGCCTTAGCGTATTACTTATATAGATTCTCTATGCGCTTTACAACAATGTATTGTACAATATATTACATGATTAATCTGAAGATTTAGATATGCATAATTTAACAAAGTACATATCATATACAATGATGAATAAAAAACAGATATAATGGTATAAACTTATGATTGAACACAATTAAAATAGTTGTATAATTACGATCTTATTGTAGTAACGAAATAACATTATTTACATAAAGTAGTCATATAATAGGCCATTTTCGTGTAACCAAATTCAATGAATAAGTCTTTGTGAAGTGCCTAAATACAGATTATTTCATTCACCTGATAAGAATAATAGTATTTCAATAGACAAAATCCGAAATACATACATTAATTGTTGCCAGGTTGGACAACATGATGGCTTGACCTACCAAGCAACACTTAATATATGCAGTTGCATTCTGACTATTGAAATACTATTATTCCTATCAGGTGAATGAAATAATTTGTATTGAGGCACTTCACAAAGACTTATGCATTAAATTTGGGTACATTACGAAAATGGCCTATTAACAGACTATTGGACGAACCTAAATGTCTTCAGAAGTGATTTGAATGAATCGATGGCGGGGCGTTACAAACATTTAATATTACATTTTGTTCCGTAGGGTGGGTCCATAGTGGCTCAGGGATCTTTCGCCGTAGATGTATACGTGAGATTGAGAGAGAAAGAGAGAGAGACACACAGGACAAAAAGTCATAGAATACATAGAGTTCGTGGGAGATAAAATTGATTTTTTTTTTTTTTTATTATTTCAGTTTGAAAGAATGATAGTACCAGTTTGAGGCAGGCTATACTCGCTGTTTTTAAGAACCGCTATTTATTTTGTTTCGCGTTATGGATAGCAGACTTTATGAATAATGTTCCTTGTGAATGGCGGTCCATATATGGATAGCGAGCTTGACCCTCGGAGCGTGCAGAACGTAAAACATTAATTATTAGGAAGCGATTCCAATTAATACAGTGGGCATTAGTATTTACAGGAAGATGCATGCATTCAGAGCGATCAAGATGACTGAGATATACATAATCATACTAATAATACTAATGAAGTCATTTTTATATAGCACATTATAATAAATTCTCTATGCGCTTTACAACAATGTATTGTACAATATATTACATGATTAATTTGAAGATTTAAATATGCATAATTTAACAAAGTACATATCATATACAATGATGAAGAAAAAACAGATATAATGGTATAAACTTATGATTGAACACAATTATAATAGTTGTATAATTAGTTAATTACGATCTTATTGTAGTAACGAAATAACATTATTTGACATAAACTAGTCATAGGTCATTTTCGTAATGTAACAAAATTCAATAAATAAGTCTTTGTCTATTGGTTACATTACGAAAATAGCCTATTAACAGACTATTGGACGAACCTAAATGTCTTCAGAAGTGATTTGAATGAATCGATGGCGGGGCGTTACAAACATTTAATATTACATTTTGTTCCGTAGGGTGGGTCCATAGTGGCTGAGGGATCTTTCGCCGTAGATGTATACATGAGATTTAGAGAGAAAGAGAGAGAGAGACAGGAACAATAGTTATAGAATACATAGAGTTCGTGGGAGATAAAATTGATTTTTTATTTTGCATTATTTCAGTTTGAAAGAATGATAGTACCAGTTTGAGGCAGGCTATGCTCGCTGTTTGTAAGGACCGCTATTCATTTTGTTTCGCGTTATGGATAGCGGACTTCATGAATAATGTTCCTTGTGAATGGCGGTCCTTATGGATAGCGAGCTTGACCCTCGGAGCGTGCAGAACGTAAAACTTTAATTATTAGGAAGCGATTCCAATTAATACAGTGGGCATAAGTATTTACAGGAAGATGCATGTATTTACCCTGGATAAAGATGTTATATACTTTTTCCCATTGACCACTTGACCACACATCGTACGTATTGCACTGGTGGGGTGTTATCGCATGGTCCATGGTTATTGTAATTTGCAAGGGTAGGGCAGCTGCAGGAATGGCGGCGATATATAGAGCGGACTAAGACCAGGTTCTTAATTATGACACTGAAATTTTGCATTCTCTAAAAAAATTATATTATGCGAAATTGTACCATCGATTTCACTGACAAGTCTGCAATGTTAAAGATGTTAAAGTGTGTTAAAGGTAATACAAAATTTTGGTATGGGGTCATGATTTTGGTTCAAATGAACATATTGGAAGCATTATGCGATCCTACAATATTCAGTGATCGTTGTCGCGGTTGAAATCGAGTCTAAAGTTATGAAATTGAAAATAATAAACTCTTTATGTTGTATCGCTCCCTCTCAAGGTCAAGATATTAATTGAGCTATAAAACAACATTTCTTGACTAAAATTCCCGTTTGGAAATTATATATCACAACTACATATTCTAAGATTTTCATGGTGGCAGTTTCCATTGTACGGCTGTAGGCGCTATTTGAAATTTATCAAAATTTATATATTTTATATTACATTTTTCTCGAAAGCAGAAGTGTTTTAGGGGCTAAATTTTCTAGTGCTTATGATACATCCACAGGGCCATCCAAATGTATCAAATTGTAAAGAATCGCTATCCACCCTATTTTCTAAATTTCCCAAAACTTTGTATTGCCTTTATAGATTTCATTTGATGCGCAATTATAATGTAAAATAGCTTTACGGCAGCTCGTTTGCTATTATTTTTGCAAGTTGCAAATTCAACGCATTGCTCATGTGCAGAATCCAGGATGGCACGCATCGATTAGTTAAGACTCGTCATCATCGGGTTCCGACATCGAAAACAACATTGTAATTTTATTCCTTTATCCCTCGGCACGGACCGCCAAACTTGCACAAAATAATTAGACCATGAATGGAGGTCGTTGTTGGCTATACATTATACATTCTTTTCACTAGTTTTGGGAAGAGGTGAAAATAATTTGTCAGTGTTATCATTGTTATTATGCAAGTGTGGAAGAGCATCAGATAAATCATGTTCCCTGATAAGCATGGCTCTTCAAATGCCATAATATTCTAAATATGGCATGTAACAGCATACAAATCGGGACGGATTTTAATGCCACATGTTCGTGAAGTCCCATATACATCTTTCTGTGTGCAGTGCTTGTAACTTTACCAAGACTGGGCCAAATTTCTTATCATTTTGATGATTCCAGAACCTTGCAGTACAAACCAAAATGCTAGACGGTCAACCTTTTCTGATCGATTCCACACCGCTTCTTTCACAATGCAATCGCATGACCAGAACTCAACTTTATCTTTAATGACGCGATTAATTGACTTGATTTTCTTGACAAATCCA